TATAACAAGAGGGCCATGATGGCCCTGGATCGCTCACCTGACACAACCGCATCCAAGCAATGTCTTAAACAAGCATCATGGCCAAGTTTGATGACAACTGAGTTAAACATGTGACCTCTAGTGTGTTATAAAGATTTTTCTATATTTGGGCAATGTGACCTAGTTTTTGACCGGACACGACCCATATTCAAACTTGACCTAGAAATCATCAAAACAACCTTCCTGACAAATTTCCAGGAAATTTGGATCAAAACTGCAGCCACTAGAGTGTTAAAAAGATTTTTCTATTTTTAGCTCCTGTGACCTAGTTTTTAACTGGACATGACCAATCTTAGCACTTGACCCAGAAATCATCAAAACAACCTTCCTGACAAATTTCAAGAATATTTGAATCAAAACTGCAGCCACTAGAGTGTAAACAAGCTTTTTCTATTTTTAGCTCCTGTGACCTAGTTTTTGACCTAAGATGACCCATCTTCGAACTTGACCCAGAAATCATCAAAACAACCTTCCTGACAAATTTCCAGAATATTTGACTCAATACTGCAGCCACTAGAGTGTTTACAAGCTTTTTCTATTTTTAACTCCTGTGACCTAGTTTTTGACCGGAGATAACCTATCTTTGAACTTGACCTAGAAATCATCAAAGCAACCTTCTTGACAAATTTCCAGAATATTTAGATGAAAACTGCAGCCACTAGAGTGTTAACAAGCTTTTTCTATTTTTAGCTCCTGTGACCTAGTTTTTGATCTGAGATGACCCATCTTCGAACTTGACCTAGAAATCATCAAAACAACCTTCCTGACAAATTTCCAGGATGTTTGGATGAAAACTGCAGCCACTAGAGTGTTAACAAGCTTTTTCTATTTTTAGCTCCTGTGACCTAGTTTTTGACCGAGGATGACCCATCTTCGAACTTGACCTAGAAGTCATCAAAACAACTTTTCTGACAAATTTCCAGAATATTTGGATGAAAACTGCAGCCACTAGAGTGTTAACAAGCTTTTTCTATTTTTAGCTCCTGTGACCTAGTTTTTGACCGGAGATGACCCATCTTCGAACTTGACCTAGATATCATCAAAACAACCTTCCTGACAAATTTCCAGAATATTTGAATGAAAACTGCAGCCACTAGAGTGTTAACAAGCTTTTTCTATTTTTAGCTCCTGTGACCTAGTTTTTGACCAGAGATGACCCATCTTCGAACTTAACTTAGATATCATCTAAACAACCTTCCTGACAAATTTCCAGAATATTTGGATGAAAACTGCAGCCCTAAGAGTGTTAACAAGCTTTTTCTATTTTAAGCTCCTGTGACCTAGTTTTTGACCGAAGATGACCCATCTTCGAACTTGACCTAGAAATCATCAAAACAACTTTCCTGACAAATTTCCAGAATATTTGGATGAAATCTGCAGCCACTAGAGTGTTAACAAGCTTTTTCTATTTTAAGCTCCTGTGACCTAGTTTTTGACCGCAGATGACCCATCTTCGAACTTGACCTAGATATCATCAAAACAACCTTCCTGACAAATTTCCAGAATATTTGAATGAAAACTGCAGCCACTAGAGTTTTAACAAGCTTTTTCTATTTTTAGCTCCTGTGACCTAGTTTTTGACCCGAGATGACCCATCTTCCAACTTGACCTAGATATCATTAAAACAACCTTCCTGACAAATTTCCAGAATATTTGGATGAAAACTGCAGCCTCTAAAGTGTTAACAAGCTTTTTCTCTTTTTAGCTCCTGTGACCTAGTTTTTGACCCTAGATAACCCAGCTTCGAACTCGATCTGTATTTCATTGAGACAAACATTCTGACAAAGTTTGATGATGATCCAATCAAAACTGTGACTACTAGACTGTTAACAACCCAATTGTTGAGACGAACGACTGCACAACGCCGGACATAGCCCCATCACAATACCTCACCATGACCCAACTTCGTGGTTCAGCCCCTAGAGGGTAACAAGTTTTTCTATTTTTTACCCTGATCAACTGTTGAACCGAGATAACCATTTGACTCGACTGTTTAAGACAAACACAAAAGTTTCATTGCCATAAACTGTAATGCTAATTTAACAAAAGAGAAAGCCAACCCGGACTGCCCATCACTATCTCACCTATGACTTCTCTGTCGTGGTAAAAATAAGCAACACTGATCATTAACTGCAAACCATAAACCTAACACAGTTGCTGATCTTAGTAAGTTAGTTATATACACAGATGAAGGCCAAAGACTTACATCCTTTCCAGGTAAAATCCTTGACCCTGTGAATATAACAGTTATAAATCTATTCTCTAAGTTTATTTCAAACAGGTTTTTATTATTACAAAGAAAATTTTTAAGAATTAAAAGTGGAACAAATAATCCACACAGGTTTATTTTTATTTAGTATGAAGATGGAGAAAAGATTATTTTCAGACATTAATGTTAAAAAACTTATCAGTCACCATTTAAAACCAGCAAAAAAATCTTATTTGTTATATGGACTAGAACTCAGCAAGTTGGATGTGTAGCCTTGTGAACAGTATAACCGTCACTTAGGCATTTTCTTCTTAATATAGGTTATTTATAAACACCACTTTTACAATGTACATGTACCTTGAATTTAAGTGGCATTTGAACTGATTGTAGCAATTGTACATCAGGATTAACAAGCAAATTCCTTGAATTTATATCCCCCGCTGAGTACTGGTTATTACTAACACAACAACTGAAGACATAAGGCTTTATTTATATATTTATCATGGCATAAACAGTAATATTCTTTGTACTTGATAAATATTCAGGGCAATAACAGAGCCAGAACTCTGTATTAAATTGTAATATCTGGACATGCTAATGAGATGTAAATTGCCTTTGTGTATCCATGGTTGCCATAAAGTTTTATGGAAATCAATACAGCAGTTGCAAAGAAATAGCAATATTGCTCTATATGCATACTACATAACTAATCAAGGGCCATAACTCTGCAATGAAGGGTCTGGTCTGAACAACTTCAACAAGGCACCATTATGCACATCTCCTCTTGGTATTAATGGTTCCCATAAAGTTTAATTGAATTCCAGTCAGTAGTTGCAGAGAAGTTGCAAGGAAACAATTATAACTCTATATGCATACTGCATAACTAATCAAGGGCCATTACTATGAGTAAAAGTGTCTGACAGGAACAAGGCGATGATATGGGCATCTCCTCTTTGTATTGAAGGTTTCCATAAAGTTTGCTCTATATGCATACTGCATAACTAATCAAGGGCCATAACTCTGAGTTTAAGTGTCTGACCAAAACAAGCCAACTACATGCGCATTTCCTCTTGATATTGATAATTCCCATAAATTTTTGTTGAATTCCAGCCAGTAGTTGCAGAGAAGTAGCGCAGAAACGAATATTGTTCAGGTTGCATACTGCATAACTAATCAAGGGCCATAACTCTAAGTTAAAGTGTCTGACTGGAAAAAGGCAACAATACGTGCATCTCCTCTTGGTATTGAAAGTTCCCATAAAGTTTCATTGAATTCAAGCCAGTAGTTGCAGAAAAGTAGCGGGGAAACGAATATTGTTCTATATGCATACTGCACAACTAATCAATGGCCATAACTCTGAGTTAAAGTATCTGACCAGAACAAGCTGACGATATGCGCATCTCCTCTTGGTATTGAAGGTTCCCATAAAGTTTCGATGAATTCCAGCCTGTAGTAGCAGAGAAGTAGCGTGGAAACGATTTTTACTATATGCATACTGCATAACTAATCAAGGGCCATAACTCTGACTTAAAGGGTCTGACCGGATTAAGCTGACGATATGCGCATCTGCTCTTGATATTGATGATTCCCATAAATTTCGTTGAATTCCAGCCAGTAGTTGCAGAGAACTAGTCCGGAAACGAAATTTGGACGGACGGACGAACGAACGTCCGACCCAATTGGGATAAAAGGCCATTTCTTTTGTTATTTTCTATTGTTTAATAGAGGGCGCCAATGGCCCCTTATTCTATTGTTACGGACTGAACTCTATTGTTCTCTTTTGTTCTGTTTACAGTTAGATGGTCCCCTATCTCTATTTGGTAATGCCGACGGACGGAAAGACAACGCCAAAACAATATCCCCCTCCCGAATCCATTGGCGGGGGATAATAAAACTGTTTTATTATCAAAAATAAAAATACCATGGAAAAGTTTTACACTAACAGATTAAATGGAGGACTCTGAGATGGATTCTTAAGCACTGCACTTCAGGTCAACGAAAAAAGCTTGCATAGATCGCTCACCTGACCGATCAAACTTATTCGAGCATCCTGACCAAGTTTCATGACAGGTGAGTCAAAAATGTGACCACTAGAGTGCTAACAAGGTTTTTCCATATTTGAGCAATGTGACCTAGTTTTTGGGTGACTCATATTCGAACTTGACCTAGAAATTATCAAAACAAACTTTCAGACCAATTTCAAGGATAGCTGGATCAAAACAGTAGCCACTAGAGTGTGAACAAGATTCTTCTACTTTTCGCTCCTCTGACCTAGTTTTTCATCTGAGATGACCCATGTTCAAATTCATCAGAGCAATTACCTAGACAAGCATCCTGACCAAGGCTGATAACAATTGAGTCAAAAATGTGACCACTGGAGTGTTAACAAGGTTTTTCCATATTTGGGCAGTGTGACCTAGTTTTTGACCCTAGGTGACTCATATTCAAACTTGACCTAGAAATCATCAAAACAAAGTTTCAGACCAATTTCCAGGATATTTGAAAAAAAACTATAGCCACTAGAGTGTTAACAATATTTTTCTATTTTTAGCTTCTGGCTGAGATGACCCATGTTCGAAATCATATGAGCAATTACCTAGACATGTATCCTGACAAAGTCTGATGATGTTTGAGGCAAAAATGTGACCACTGGAGTGTTACGAACAAATGTGGATGGACGACAAACGGCATACATTCAATGATCCTAAAAGCTCAGGTGAGCTAAAAAAACCTATTCGTTCTTACTGCAATTACAATACATGTATATTTACTCACCATGCCAACCCATTGAATACGGGAAGGACACTTCAAACAAGTTATCATATTTGGTCAATAAACGTTTCATAATATCTGCAAGATCTGAAATTTACAAAAAAAATCACCAATATGACAAAAATCCATATTGTTTAACCATAAACAAGAGCCACCACTGGGCGGGGGGCAATGCTTGACTTTTTTACTATTTCTAAAACCAAACGAATAAAAGGGTTTAAATAAATCTTAAAAAAAATTAAGTTTTCCTATTTATAATTTTTCTAATTTTCTAATTTTAGTTTTGTCCAAATATTACAAAAATTAGAAAAATTTATATATATATGATATTTATTATATATAAATATATAATCGGCACTCCACTGTCGGGACTCGAACCACGGGTCTCTGGATTGCCGGTCCAGTATGCTAACCACAACACAACAGCTGCCATTGTGTTTTCTTCATGTTAATTGGCATTATATATTTAAGTTATTTGGGACAACAACAAAAGAATATCATACTTTAACTAATTTTATTTTATAGTCATACATAGTGGCATATGTAATTTATCTCACTGAGTAATGTCTTAGTTTATCTTTGGCATTTTATGGGCACGACTCCATTAATTAAAGCCAAAAGGTTTGGATACCGGGCATACAAAACCCTGTTAGGGCATCCATAGCAAAGCAAACAAATGACACAAAATCAAAACAAGCAAATGGAACAAACTGTATAGCTTTTTGGAACAGTATGTTCTAGAAAATAATTGATCAAAGCAATACTAGTCTTTCAATTCTTCATTCACAAAATAGTCAATTTTCACAAATGTATATGAGCAACAACACAGCATTGACACTGTTGCGCGAAATTGGTTCTGGGAAGCAGAAACCAGTATCGCCAGTATCACAAAATGTCTATTCGCCGCCGCAATAATGCAAATTTAGCAGACACAACATGTGAAATCTAGTAGTTTTGAAAGTTCATAGAACACATCTCTGGAGTCGCACCGTTGTTGAATTCTCTCTGCTGCGTGGTTTTGGCCAAGCAGTTTTCCCTAAAAGATACCTCTTCCGTGGTATTTAGTAGGGCTAGCTGTCTTGAAACACGTCGCTTATATTGGCTAATCTGAAAACATATCAAAAGAGGACAGAAACAACAAAACAAGCATGACACTAGTATTAAATTTAAGCTCAAATCTTTGACACTTCACACTCATAATTGACCGAGGAGGGCGGGTGGGTTTTTTCAACAATTCATTTCTTCCTGTTACAATATTCGACGCCAGCGTTAAAAGGATATGACGTAGATACAGTACCTACGTCATAACCAGGGCAGGGTATAAGTTGTTCCCCAAATAACAGAGACTATTCTATAGAAATAGTCATCATTATTTGGGACAACAACAAAAGAATATCATACTTTAACTAATTTTATTTTATAGTCATACATAGTGGCATATGTAATTTATCTCACTGAGTAAATGTCTTAGTTTATCTTTGGCATTTTATGGGCACGACTCCATTAATAAAAGCCAAAGGTTTTGGAATACCGGCATACAAAACCCTGTAGGGCATCCATAGCAAAGCAAACAAATGACACAAAATCAAAACAAGCAAATGGAACAAACTGTATAGCTTTTTGGAACAGTATGTTCTAGAAAATAATTGATCAAAGCAATACTAGTCTTTCAATCTTCATTCACAAATAGTCAATTTTCACAAATGTATATGAGCAACAACACAGCATTGACACTGTTGCGCGAAATTGGTTCTGGGAAGCAGAAACCAGTATCGCCAGTATCACAAAATGTCTATTCGCTCGGCCGCCACTAGACTTCGGATGGTGAACGGGAGATTTCCCGTTTTCCAGTCGAAGGCTCCGCCAATAACATATAATATTGGCTTCGCCAATATCATACTATTATTGGCTCCGGCGAATTGAATACTTAAAAAAAAAATTAGTCGTGCCCAGCCATTCTATGATTTATAATACAACACTGCCATGAAGGTAATTAACAACTTGGCAAATAAATCAGCATTCCAACAAATATGCAAATATACAGCGCTCATAATCAAATATGACACTATATCTGAAACACAATAATTTGGGTAAGTAACCATCAAGATCTCGAGTTCAGTGCCATTTCTCTTGACAAGAATTTAGCAAAAGCATTCAAACTGCTCCAAATATGTGCTAGCTAAATGTATAAACATTTGACAGTGCATTTTTTCGAGAGATTAAAATTTAGCAATAACGTTACAAACTGCTTCAATAAGTGCATAGTACAAGTATACAATAAGTGAATTAACAATCAACATAGAATAATAAATTATGCATCAACACATCAAACTATAACAATATACATAATTCTATGCCATAAGGTGTTCGGAGTCCCGCTGATCAGACCAACCCACCCCCACACACAACACTCCCACCCTCAAAAACCATGCTAAACATAGAACAGATAATAATTCATATTAGAATAGAATTTTAAAATATATAAGAGAGTAAAGCTAATTTATACAAATACTTCAATAATTACCCACAAAAATAAATTTAATTTATATATACATATTTAGAGATAAAGAGATGCACTCGCATAGACACATTTAATCAGCAACTACATACATAATAATAATATTGAACCCCAATACCCAAACGTATATTTCACAATTTTCAATATATGATAATCTGAGAGAATTGAAGAAAGAGCCAGCCAAAAATGCGAGGTCCCCCGAGGGGAAGACACCACCACCACGCGCCGAAAACATATGCCCAATACAATAGTGACCATCAAGATCGTGAGACAAATGCATGACTCATAGCAGATATTTCCAATTGCACTCACATGGGGTTTCGAATCCTTCCAATTCAACCAACATGTTTAATAATGTTACATTAATCAGGTTAAATCGCATGATGTAAACACTTACGCTCCATGCGAAAGAAAACTAGCAAACAATTTAATTCATCATATCTTCGACAAGGCAGAACACTGGCATTACATTTTAGTATGCTTAGCAGCTATTGTCATTAGAATAGCATGCAATATTAACGTGTTAGGAAATTGTCCTATTTTTTACCCCACAATTGTACATAGGTTGCCACAATTGAACATAGGTTCGAGCATATATTTTTCCAATTTGCCAGCATTTCACTACACCCATCCTGGTTCAATCCTGAACTGTCTTTCTTACAACTAAAAAATTTAAAATAGGTAATTATACTAATATACTTAACTGAGCTGTAAAAAGATTGAAAAATTAATAATAAGATTTCATGGAATATTTAACTTAATGAAATATCTTATTGGCCAAAAACATACTAAATTGGTTTAAGCTTATTTGTATGGACATAATATCTACTGCACAGTGTTATCAGACATTACACAAAATATTCTATATCACAAAGTCAGTTTGCAGCATCCAGCACATACGTGAATACAAAGTTAAAATTGTTTGATTCTGAATTGGATAAATAATTAGTCAAATTCAACCAATTAAGTAGACTTAAATAAACATTGATTATAATTAATACACATGTATTTACATTTTATCTTAATTGAAAAGCCACACTCAATAATCTATCTGAGCAATACAGAAGCAATTTAATGAATAGAATTTTCAGCACAAGCATTATAGAAACCGATTTTCAGACCAAAGACATGAATTGAATTCTAATAGTAGCTGCTATGATAAATAGAAACCTAAAAAGAATATGATTAGCTTTAAAACAAAGTGAAACCTTGAACATGCCAGATTAATGCACATCCATTTTATTAACATGTATTTAGTGGTTATTTCATGTGCCTAATAATAATGATTTATTGTATAAATTAAATAATCCAAAGACAGGAATAAACAACAAAGTTTATTAATAATTACCTGAAGATAAAAAGGCAATAAAGTTCTTAAGAACAAAAATATATAAATATCAAAGCTAGATGGACTCCTGAAGTGCATAATAGATTATACAAAATTATAAAATATTTTTGTACATTTAATTTACACTATAGAATGTAAACAGTATTAAAAACAGTATGTAATAGATATTTGGACAATAATGCATAATGCCCATCCAGAGCTTTAATTATTAATGAGGTGTATTGATAACAAGGTGAAAGTCAAATTAAATTAAATCTTGCCATAATATCCTTTTCAATTCTTATAAAATGACAAAATGTACATTTCCATTATATGAAACGAATAAATCAATGCCATTGAAAATTACCAAAATAGACGCAATATTTATAAAAAGTTTGGACAGTACTTTTATATTATTAGGCATACTATATTTTAATCCTTAACATTTTAATATATACCAGCTGTAAAGTCAATAAACCTTTTTCAAGTCAATTATTTGAAACATTAAAAAACAAATTACAAGCATAACTTGACCATGACAAATAGGCACCAATGTCAATATTAATATACATAGCCATGTTATTTTAGAAGTTCTAATAGGGTGTACTTTTTCACAAAATAAATATGTTTCAACATCGAAATTAAAGTAAGACGATTATATATTAACTTTTAAATATCAAACCTCACATCCTCTATTAGTTTACATAAAAATTGGTCTTGCAATTCAACCAAAGTTGGGTATTATACTAAAGCCAAGAGAAAATTGTCTTGAATGATTTTCCTTTGAATAACATTCAACAAAGAAAAGATAAAACGTTGAATGCCTGATTTTGTGTAAATATTATCAAACAGTGTAACTGTTTAACACTAAAATTTAAGAAAGCAAGAATGTTCACTTTTATACACTAGCTTATGGGAATGAGTACCTATCAACATTAGCATGAGATTACAAGAAATCACTAAGAAATGGAAAAACTTTTAACCTCTAAATTTAAAACTTCTACCCTCTAAATTAAAGTTTTAAGTTTAATTATGTGTAGATCTATTGTCAAACTATAGAGAAAAAATAAAAAGTAAATGATATACTTTCAAATTTAAAGTTTTATATTTGGATGGTGTTCACTATGACTAAATCATCAAAAGAGGTTCATAATCATTTAATAAATTAGCTATGCATTTATTATAATTAAAATATTTATCTTTTTATGTTGTGTAAAGTAAATAAAAGGTGCAATGGAAAATAAATTTTACAATGAAAAGTGAACAAAACTTGTCAACTAAAAATTGCAATAAATTGTGTGACAAATAATATTTGTTATAAATCTGTACTGTAATGTAGCCTACACCATGAATTATAAACAACATAGTCTATTTAAAATTATTATTATTATCAATTTATTATTATTAATAATTTCTTATTTTTATTATAATTATGAATTCATTGATTGTCTTATTATTATCATTAGATCACATCATCAATTATTATTATTACTATTATCAATTCATTATTATTATTACTAATTTATTATTATTATATTAATCATCATCATTAATAAATTTATTATTATTATTATTATTATTAACAATTCATTATAATTATTATTATTACTATTTATTTATTGTTATTAATTTTATTTTTATATAATATTTATTAATTTACTATAATTATTATTATCTAATATCTTAATCATGTGACTGATGTTGCATTGAAGTCTGCATCTTTTTATTATTTGTGCATTATTAATTTATCAATTTCAATTTAATGTGATTTTAACCCCTTCTTATCCAACATAATTTGCTTATTATGCATACTTAATTTTACCATGAAAACAATAGGCCCTAAAATAACAAATACTGAAATATAACTGAATAATTAATTTGTTCAACTTGTAGATCTAAACCTAGGTTTCACATTGTAAAATAATGTAGATCTATAAAATAAACATTGAAACAGGAAATACCTCACCTAATATTGTAAGGAACTAAACTACTAGCTCTACTAACATCAGACACCAATTTATCTCATACAACAATTCATCAAATGTCAGGAGTCATCACAAGACGCTGCTGATCACCATCGCATTTATTTCCACATTTCCCATACAGACCAGTAGTGTATTGTCTTTAATCACATTCTTCCAATCTCGTCCACCAAAAAGAAAATTATAGATCTATTTTGAAGATTTAAAAGCAAATAAAATATATTTTAAAACTGATTAGCTAATAATAACTGATTTATTATGAACCTGTTAGATTAATAGACACATTTTTTTCCTAATTCAGGACAATTAGCACAAAGTTAACAAAAATTTCTTGCTTCCACCATTCTTAACGCCATTGAAAATAGCAAAGTGCACCTACTGACCTAGCTAGATCATCGTATTATTTATGTAGATCTATCATATTTTTTTTTAAAAGGTTTTCATTACAATCATCATCGTGACCATCATAACTAATACATCGAAATAGCGAAATACAGACATAGCTAAATGAATAGCCGTGGTGAGAGTAGATCCATGGATCGTCATAATAAATTCAAAATTGTCAATTTACGGCAGCAGTCAGCATAAAGCTAGACAAAGTACAATTCACAAAAACAATGAATATAAATAATTTAAATTTAACAATCTTTTGAAGATCTAAATCTGAATTGAATAAGAAAACTTCTTTCTGTCCATATAATATCCTGCTTGATTCAGTGTCCCCATGTTCCCACCAAAGACATCAAGAACAAATCCGCTTCAATCGTGGAAAATATCAACAAAATTGCTGCTTATAGGGCACACAGAAAATCACCGACGTTCTTATCGATTCATATCTAAGAAGATATTACTATCGATTGCTGTTTTGGTCAGCGATTTTTTTCATTTTTTTTCAACAATTCATTTCTTCCTTGTTACAATATTTCGACGCCCAGCGTTAAAAGGATATGACGTAGATACAGTACCTACGTAATAACCAGGGCAGGGTATAAGTTGTTCCCCCAAATAACAGAGACTATTCTATAGAAATAGTCATGCAATTATTTTTCACTTTATTGTGACATCATCACTTTTTTTACCATTGCTGTGAGCTATTTATAGCAAAATTTTACCGCAGTTGGCTGAGTCAGTCACTATTAATTTTCTTATGGCAAACACATAATTTATAATAAGAAAATTAATAGTGACCAAGCCAGCCAACTGCGGTAAAAGTAGCTACAAATAGCTCACCGCTATGGTAATAAAAGCGCTATCAATGCTTTCTTAGCATATCTTCAGCTAAAACTAAAATAAACAATAATAAACATAAAAACAAATGATGTAACGTCATGAAACAAGAGGGCCATGATGGCCCTAATATCACTTACCTTAATATCAATACTCTCATTGACAAGGAACAACTTATATTGTAAGCCTTAAACAAAAGCAGACGTAACATCTTAATCTTAAAGATCCTGTATGTTGTAATTAAGGTTGTAACAACATTTAACCTTTTACCTCATATAGGTGTGTTTTGACGGCGTTTCACACCGCCCCCCTTTTGAGGCCTCAAATAGTGAAAAAATGCCCTATGTAGGCCCCAAACAGTTTTTTGCTTGTGAAATGTTGTTCAAAAAAAGAGATCACTTTTTCAGCGCCGCCCCTTATCAAAAAGGTAAATCAAGGGGGTTCCAGAGGGGGGATGTGCCCCCTTCTGTTTGGGAGGTTTGACGGTGAGGCCATGGCTTCCATCATCGCCATGAAAACTTTGGACTTGTGAGGGGCTAAAAATGGCCTCAGGTTGATCTTAAGGTAACATGTGACCCATGCTGAAAAGCCTTTGACTCTATCTCAATCCATTGTGATGTTGCAGCACTTTGAAATCAGTTTTGATGGGAAAAAAACCCGCAAAATAGTGATTTTTGGCAATTTTGAGACAATTTTGCCATGGTAAAAGGAAATGTAAGATTGAGCATGCTGTTAAAAAAGACTATGGTCAGCATTTTTTTGCAATATGCTCATGCTGTAGTTAGTGAAGTTTTATATATCTATATATCTATATAATTATTCAAAAATTTATTCTTTTAAGAATTTCCAAAAATCAAAGAATGAGTTGAATATGTACAGCAAATGTTTAATTACACAGAAGTCAAAAACTGGGAAAAATGGATGGCACACTTATATAACTTGGAAATATCATATACCTTGTTTTGTATTGATAAGTGAGTAAATTATGAAGCCATTGGTACAGGTAGAACTTAAAATAAATCCAAGTTGATGGTCAAGGTTTAAGTTTGCTAGGATGGACGGTCAGTTCATTTTAACAATAGATACTTTAACCATTAACCTGCTTAATATCCAAAATGGTCTTGTCCATCTTTTAATCTTGACAAACAAAATCATTTATCAATTGTAGGAAAAATTTCAAAATATGTACTGACTGAAATGCAAATAGTGCAGACCATGATCAAACAGTCGCATGGGTAGATTTTACTTGTAAATAGCAGGCTAATAGTTAATGCAAATAGCAGGCTAATAGTTAACTCCAGTATAAAGAAAATAAGCATTTATGGAACCAACCATTTCTCTGAGATTCTGTGAGATCCTGTAGCCGTAGCACATGAGATTTGGGAACCAGCATGGTCTCGTACGGCCACATTGCCCAGTATGGAACTAACCATACCCAATGTTCACTCTCTATAATCACACGCTCCTGTTCTCACAAAAATGATACTTAATTTATTGAAACAAGCATTAAAAAGATAACATGTATTTCATGGTTTTATCTGCAGTTCTGATATACTGATATTGAATTTTATACGATAATTTCATACAGTGACCTGTAAGAGAACTGCAATCAAACACACATGTTTCTATTTCATGGTAAATAGTAAGCTTAGACTATAAATACAACTAGAAATGTGTCCAAAGGACAGGGATGCCCCCACACGCCACTGTTCTGTCAATCTTATGACTCTAGGTCAAATATTTTTTGGACTACATGTGCCACAAGTTGAAAACTAAAAATCAACAAAGGGCCATAATTCTGTTAAATTTGGTCGCAGCAAAAATTCCTTCCTTTATTGCCATCTACACATTAAGGTTGTTAATCCCTGGAAGTTTAAGCAAAATCTGCCATCCTGTTAAGAGGAGTTGTGTTCACAAAATTTCTACATAGTATATAATGAAAAAATCAACAAAGGGCCATAATTCTGTTAAATTTGGTTGCAGCAAAAATTCCTTCCTTTACTGCCATCTACACATTAAGGTTGTTCATCCCTGGAAGTTTAAGCAAAATCTGCCATCCGGTTTAAGAGGAGTTGCATTCACAAAATTTCTACATAGTATATAGTGAAAAAAATAACAAAGGGCCATAATTCTGTTAAATTTGGTCGCAGCAAAAATTCCTTCCTTTACTACCATCTACACCTTAAGGTTGTTCATCCCTGTAAGTTTAAGCAAAATCTGCCATCCGGTTTAAGAGGAGTTGCGTTCACAAATTTTTCTACAAGTATATAGTGAAAAAATCAACAAAGGGCCATAATTCTATTAAATTTGGTTGCAGCAAAAATTCCTTCCCTTACTACCATCTACACATTAAGGTTGTTCATCCCTGTAAGTTTAAGCAAAATCTGCCATCCGGTTTAAGAGGAGTTGCGTTCACAAAATTTCTACATAGTATCTAGTGAAAAAATCAACAAAGGACCATAATTCTGTTAAATTTGGTCGCAGCAAAAATTCCTTCCTTTACTACCATCTACACATTAAGGTTGTTCATCCCTGTAAGTTTTAGCAAAATCTGCCATACGGTTTAAGAGGAGTTGCGTTCACAAGATTTCGGGACGTACGGACGGACTGACGGACGGACTGACGGACAGACGGACAAGTGCAACGCTATATGCACCCACATTGTGGGGGCATAAAAATACTAAACCTCTAGATGAGATTGAACAACAAGTAGTTAGAGCAAAATTTAACTTTATAATTTCTCGATATCTATTTAAGTAATTTTAAGAGACTGGTTGATATCTAACTAAAAAATAAATAAATACAAGAGGGTCATAATGGCCCTAAATCGCTCACCTGAGTCAGAATACTTGTTTATTTGAGGTTTTTTAAATAAGATTTCTTTTTGTTTTAACTATATGCATATGACGAAAATTCTAGCACTCCTTGTGATTTTGTCACTATAGACAAAGAAGAAAAAAAAACGGTATTAAACTCCCAATAAACACTGGTTTACTTTAAACAAAGGACTACTAGTATATGTGGCTGTTATGTTTTCTCCCTCGACTATACAGTTTACAAAGCCTTTTAAAACAACAATAAAACAGCATTTTTTATTTATATTTTCAGTTCCTATGTTTTCTTTTCATATAATACTGAAATAATATCTCACATACACTTACACCACAGATTTGATCCATATCAGTTAATAAATATTTTGACAAAGCGTCGCCAATCTGAAGGCAGCGTAATAACGTCATTCTAAGTATACAACTCATTCATAAACACTGACGTCATTTCAAACATACAATAATGAAAAATTGGGCACTGATGTAAACACAATACAATCCATTCTATGACGGAAGTTTTTTTTGTTGAACACTTGATAAAATAACTTCTTTTCTTATTATTTCATTTGTTTAATAATTTCTATATCTTAGCAATAGTAGGGTGCAACATCGAACAGCATTATACCAAAATCAGTACCGGAAGTTATTTCCGCTTAAAAAATAACAATTGTGATCTTCCTTATTTTATCTTGTTAGAATCAAAATAATATCAGTCTGAGCGGTGTTTATCGGCTATTTAACATCGGTTTTGTCTTTTTTTACTATATACATATTAGGAAAATCAATGACCCCCAGGGCTAGCAAATTTTCACCTCAGGGCTTTTATTTGAATAAACTTGGTAGACACTGACCAGAAGATATTTCATGCCAAATACCTAAACTCAAACCATTTGGGTTTTTTAAAAGAAGCTTTTTAACAATATGCATATAAGAAAAATCAATGTAGAGGTCTACAAATTGGTAGACACTTTTTGGAAGATGTTTCATGGCAAATATCTAAGCTCTAGCTATTTGGGTTTTTTTTTTAAAGGAAGATTTTTAAGTTTTTTACTATAAACATAATTATTAGGAAAATCAATGACCCCCAGGGCAGGGCCAATTATGATCCAAGGGCTTTTATTTGAACAACCTAGGTACCCACCCACTAGAAGATGTTTCATGCCAAATATCCAAGCTCTAGCTCTTTGGGATTTTTTAAAAGAATTTTTTTTTCTTTTGGCTGCCATGACGAGTTTTGCATAGAATTAAATTCTTTGAACAATTTTTAAAGGTGACCTGTGAAGTTTGGACGAAATTGGCTTAGTGGTTTATGAGGATATGTCATTTAAAGTAAAAGTTTACGGATGGAGGCCAGACAGACGCCGGACGAAAAGAGATCACAACACCTCATCATGTCACTTTGTGACATGTTGGCTAAAAACAAGAGCAATAACACAGTAAGTATGGTGAAAGTGTTTAAAAAGTTCTATTACATGATGTTCTGAAGGCATCAAATATAATTGCAAGTTATATTCAAGTCAGTGATATAGAACTTTAAAGACATGTATGAAGTTTCAAGACAAAGATCATAATTGGTTTAAAATTAGACTGACAGAAGTTAAACCTGAAATATTCTAAGCATATTCAGTAAAATTTCATACAAGAATTATTGTTTGGGAAGTAAATACAACAAGCCAAATTAAAATTGTTAAATAAATATCCCCGGAATCACATGATTTAAAGTTTCTAGTATTACTGTAGATTTGGAATGTTGATATACTGTTATAATCCAACAGTGTGTTGTTGAATTATTCACTTAGTTACTAAAGGATTGCGGTTTGTTTTCCGGAGACAATTCTGATTTAAAAATTCAGCTGTCCTAAACTACACTACCGAATTAGGATTTTGACATCCACCCATAGGTAGTCACCTTCTCGTAGGGTTCTTTCAAACAACCAAGCATTTTGGGACGAGCTTTCATATTTTTGCAAAACCAATAATTTTAACCCTTTGGAAAAACCAATACTGAGTAGATAATTTTAACAATTTTGAGAAAAAAACATGGCATTGTCCATATAGCCAACAGGCAAACTGGCAAAACAATCTTGCCCATTAAAAAAATTGACTCTTTTATTTCAAGTTAATTTGGTAAAAATTACTTCAAACATTTTTTTTTTCTAACAAAAAGCAACAATTTGTTTAAATTCCACATATAACTATATTTTTTGATACTTCTTCTAATGCCTGTATGTTTGTTTGTTTGTTTGTTTCATACTCCTTTTCCCCAACAGTATTTCAGTCATATGCCAATATGTAAAAACCGGTTTGATTGCATGGCTAAAAATAGCTTTTTCGGGAAAACTTAAGTCAGATTGTTTCTGGAGTGTCTTAATATAGAAGAATACTGCAAAGTTGCCTACTATTTGTAAAATGTACATTAATTAAAAAATCTGTAAGGTAACATATAAAAGATTGAACGTTTAACTATATGGAACTGTTTAGGATCTTGGTTAAATTTTTGTTTGCTTTTTGATTTATATAAACTATACTACTCAAAATTTGCTAAGGATCACTTTTTCCACAGTGCGTTACTTTTGTGTATATAATGTAATAAATGTGAAAATTAATTAAAAGGAATTAAAAATAATTAGTTAGGAATTGATTCTTAAGAAAATAATGACAATGGAAGTGTCCCTTGATGTGTGCCTGTTGGGGAAAGAGTGTGCTGGACAAAAATCAAAATTTTGGAGATTACAAAATGGAATCAAAAAAATCTTGCAAATCAGGAAATGGTTGGTGATGATTGAATGTCTTAGCTCCTGAACTGTTGTTGGTTGGATATGGCGTGAAGAATTGGCTTTCTGCAGCATATCCCAAGCATGCTCAATTGGATTTAAATCCCTGGGATCTTGCTGGTCAATCCATGCGGACTATAGTTGCCTCCTCAAGATATCGGTTTGTAATGTGGGCTCTGTGTGCATGGGCGTTGTCATCTATAATAATGAAATCAGGGCCGACTGCGCCAGCGTACGTGCGTACATGGACATCTAAGATTTCATTGACATACCTTTCTGCTGTCAGTGTCAATGATGTGTAGGGTTCGTTTTCCCCCCCGAGTGCTTATTCCCACCCACACCATGACTGAAACCCCGCCAAAACGGTCATGTTTTGCAATGCATGCTGGAGCTAAGCGTTCATTTGGACTTCTCCAAACCCTAGTCCGTCTGTCCGTGAAGTCCACACATAACCTTGACTCATCAGTGAAGAGGACCGGGGTCCAATCATTAACTGTCCATGTGACATGAGTCTGTGCCCATTGCAAACACTCTTCAAAATGGCGTTGTGTCAAAGGAATGCAAATTGCTGGCCTCCATGACCTCAACCCAGCATCATGCAACCAGTTTCTAACAGTTTGTGTGCTTACATGCACACCAGTTGCATTCTGGAAGTTGTTTTGAAGGTCGTAGTGTTCGAGAGGTGGCGCCTGGCCTGAAGGACAATTAAACGGTCCTGGGCTTGAGTTGTTGAACGTTCCCGACCTCCGGCGTGGCCCAGACATTTCCAGTCATTTGGAATTGGTTCCACATCCTGGAGACAACGCTCTGGGATAACCCAAGGACATGAGCAACGTGCCTTTGTTAATGGCCAGCCTCCAACATTCTAATACCCCCGTTCATCTCATCTTCACTAAGACGACGTCTAACCTGTCAATTTGCCATAGTTTGTTAATTTCGAACACAGTTTCGCAATAAAATGGGAGAAGTCTTGCTGCTTGTACACGTTTAAGGAAAGCACATGGCCATAAAACACCAAATTTCCATGGGCATGCTTTTCCACGTGCTTATTGTGCAAGGTGTACATGATAAATCAATAACTTAAGTACACGACTATGAGGTCCCCGTACAGGTGTATTGTTAGCGGAAATATGATTTTAATATGATTATAATAGGACTGAAATATACAATGTCAAAAAGGTGATCCTTAGCAAATTTTGAGTAGTATAGTACAGTTTATATCTAACAATTAGCATTGCAAAATAATTCAATTTTAATAGTTAAACTATATTAATTCTTGGTTAATTGGATCAATTGAATTTTAGCACAAATTTGCATGCTTCATTTGACTTGAATTCAATTGTCATTCTTTAATTACATACAATGTGTTTGGTGGAAAATATTAATTCAACCATTAATAAAAAATGAAGTTGTTTGTGGAAACTTCATTTAGGGTTAAGCAAAGGTCAACATGAGTAAGATAGCTTCCCTATTCCACACTTAGTCAAAGGTTTTTTCATATAAATAAGACATCAAAATGTAAGGTTACAAAATTTACCGTTTAGTCACCTTTTTCTGTAGTTCTCTCTTGACATAGTCTATCAACATAGGAGACTTATACTTGCTTATATAGTCAAGCTGTGTACGATCTTTTGTTGCAGGTTCATTTGGTAAGAATGAGCTTGCCCATACCTGACAATGTGGGTGTGGATTGGAGCAACCCATTATTGCCCCCCGATTCTCAAAAATCTGTGAAAATATAGACTAATATTACCATCTTGTATACTAAAACTTCACTTCATATTGTTTAAAGATGTTTCTTATAGTTTTCTCTTTCTTTTCATTTCTTACATAAAATGAAACTAACAGACAAATTTTTTAACAGAGCGCCGACGGTTTTTTAGTGTTAGAAAATTTTTTTTTCCAAAAGAACCCTTTCCGAAGGCAAATCCAGTCGACTTTAACTTTTCCCCCCCCTTTTTATTACATTTAATTAAAAACTGATTTTTTGATTTTTCCTTTTTATAATAAAAAACAGGGCCAAGATGGCCCTAGATCACTCATCTGACCCATCATTTCTTTGTTCACTATAAAAATTGAAATATTTTGTTCTAATATTTTGGAAAGGCTTTGTTTAAAATTTCTATGTTGCAAGAGTGTTCCTATGAGACTATGTAGAATAAATGACCACTAGAGCAGAGTTAAATTTGATGGGACAATTTTTTTAAAACTTTTGTGAATGAATACACAAAATGTCACATGCAAAATATGTAAGGTGTTGATGTTTGAAGTTTACAGTTTGGGACAACAAATTTTTATACATTCTATATGGTAACATAACTGTACCTAAAACAAGAACTGTCAGAGGACAGTAACGCTCGACTATTCGAAAAGTTGTCACAAGGGTGTTTCATTGAGTATAATAATGCTTCTATATATGCATACATAAAATTGTCCGAAAAAGTACAAACCCTTCAGTAGTTATTTAAATACCGTCTAACAAGCAAAAATTTAACCAAGAATTTCTAAGTCAAAAAAGGGGCATAATTATGCAAAAAAGCAAATCAGAGTTATGGGACTTGTGCCATTCATCTTAGATAATCAAAGAAAACAAGTGTGTTAAGTTTCAATCCATTCCCTTCAGTTGTTATGGAGATACCAGCTTACACGCAAAAACTTAACCAAGAATTTCTTAGTCGAAAAAAAGGGGCATTATTATGTAAAAAAGCAAATCAGAGTTATGGGGACTTGTGCCAATCATCTTAGATAATCACAGAGAACAAGTGTGTGAAGTTTCAATCCATTCCCTTCAGTAGTTATGGAGATACCAGCTTACACGCAAAAAATTAAAACCAAGAATTTCTAAGTCGAAAAAGGGGCATAATTAAGTAAAAAAGCAAATCAGAGTTATGGGACTTGTGCCATTATCATCTTAGATAATCACAGGGAACAAGTGTGTGAAGTTTCAATCCATTCCCTTCAGTAGATATAGAGATACCAGCTTACACGCAAAAACTTAACCAAGAATTTCTTAGTCGAAAAAGGGGCATTATTATGTAAAAAAGCAAATCAGAGTTATGGGACTTGTGCCAATCATCTTAGATAATCACAGGGAACAAGTGTGCGAAGTTTCAATCCATTCCCTTCAGTAGATATGGAGATACCAGCTTACACGCAAAAACTTAACCAAGAATTTCTTAGTCGAAAATGGAGCATAATTATGTAAAAAAGCAAATCAGAGTTATGGGACTTGTGCCAATCATCTTAGATAATCACAGAGAACAAGTGTGTGAAGTTTCAATCCATTCCCTTCAGTAGTTATGGAGATACCAGCTTACACGCAATAACTTAACCAAGAATTTCTAAGTCGAAAAAGGGGCATAATTATGTAAAAAAGCAAATCAGAGTTATGGGACTTGTGCCAATCATCTTAGATAATCACAGGGAACAAGTGTGTGAAGTTTCAATCCATTCCCTTCAGTAGTTATGGAGATACCAGCTTACATGCAAAAACTTAACCACAGGGACGCCGACGCTGACAAATGGGTGACTGCATAAGCTAGATTATTCTGCGAATAGTCGAGCTAAAAATGACAAAAGGTCAAACTATGTAAACTAGAAATGTGTCCATAGGACATGGGTGCCCCCACACTCAACTGTTATGTCAATCTTATGACTCTAGGTCAAATATTTTTTGGGCTACATGTGCCACAAGTTGAAAACTAAAAATCTGTTACTAACTATAGGACAAGAACTTTACAAATACTGAATATATCCACAAGTGAACCCAAAGGTACATAAGTACACATGCTGACCATCATTCGGCCTACAGGTCAAATACTTTCTGAGCTATGCATGGACAAGTTGAAAATTGCAATTTATACTAAGTCAAGGACAATAACTCTACAAATACTACATAAATCCACTTGAAAATACCCAGGTGCACAACTACACATGCTGATTATTCCTGTAAAGTTTCATGACTCTAGGTCAAATACTTTTTGAGCTACAGGCGACACAAGCTGAAAATTGCAAATTTTTACTAAGTCAAGGGCAATAACTCTGGAAATACTAAATATATCCAAAAGAAATTCCCAGGTACACAACTACACATGCTGATCAACATTCCTGTAAAGTTTCATGATTCTAGGTCAAATACACAAAATGAGAATGGACGGACTGGCGGATGGACATCCGACCAAATAGCGATAAAGGGCCATTTCTATTGTTATTTTCTTTTGTTTAATAGAGGACCATGTTACAGAAGGTGTCCAAAAGTCTAGAGCCACAAATAGAAGATGATTTTATTTCATTGTTACCTAGCTTAACAAGATTGCATTTGTGAACACTAAATAGTACCAGAAATAGATTTTTTTCTATACAATTGAACTTTGCCATAGCGCAGTAGTGTCTAAAGGTCTTACTTTAGCATGTCAAATGTAAGACAATGTGCAGATATGTTTACTGTTCAAATACAAAGCATATGACCTAAAATCATAAAGCAAACAGGTCATAAAATTAAAACTTTGAATCTTTTGAATTGAATCTTCTTTTAGAAAAAATGCATAACATGTACACATGTATGAAATAGAGAAAATTAGAACAAGAAGTCTAAAACAACAAAATTGATAATGTTGCAAGCTCTGTTTGATTGAACCTGTTCATGGACAGTACTGTTAAGTGCAAACTACTGTCCACACCGCCTAGCACCGGCTTAAGCAGAATTTAACATTTAACATGAACTGGTAAAATTTGGAATTTTGAAACATCTTTAGATGTGTTCATACAGCGGTTATCATGGAACCTTCAATGAGACACTTCTTTGCAATTCCATGAAAAACAGCATGTGGTACCGGAGTATTAGAAAGTGTGTGCCCTAAACGGGAAAACAATGGGCGGAACTAAACAAAATGGAATTTGAAAGGGGATCAGAGGTTATGAAGTCTGCGTATCACAGATAAGATGTTAAAAGACAGTGTATCACATGTAAGACGTTAAAAGACAAAAATAAAAAGCAGACAACATATCCTAAGAGTAATATTGGAACCAACCAACTAGAAATGCCAAATAGTTAAAACTAAAATGTACCACAAACACAACAATAAGGTTGTGCTGAACGATCTTTATAAAAAACATTCCAACATGAGTTGTTTCCCTTTCACAATTAAACTATAATTTGTTTGTTTGTTTGTTTTGGGTTTTACGTCACATCGACACAGTATAGGTCATATCGCGATGTTCCAGCTTTACTGGTGGAGGAAGACCTCAGGTGCCTTTCCGTGCATTATTTCAGGCACGAACGGGCACCTGAGTAGAACCACCGACGTTCCGTAAGCTAGCTGGATAGCTTCCTCACATGAAAGAATCCAAAGTCCCTGTTGGGATTCGAACCCACAGCGGTGAGGGGCAAGTGGTTTGAAGTCAACGACCTTAACCACTCGGCCAAGGACGCCCCAAAAACATAATTTAAAGTAATGCCATGGCCTGGGGCATTTTAACTTTAGCGTCACCTAAAAGGGGCCTATCAAATTAATATAAGCAAACTCGATAAAAAATCTACCTAAGAAAGCTACAGGCAAAAGTTTGGTGATCATCCATCATTACTTCAGTAAAAGATGATGTTTTAAAGTTTTTCTATTTTTAACTCTAGAGGCCCCTAAAAGGAGCCAATAATATAAATATGAGCAAATTTGATAGAAGACTACCTAAGAATGCTACAGACACAGTTTTGTGATCATCCATACATTACTTCAGTAGAGGATGATGTTTAAAGGTTTTTTCTATTTTTAGCTCTAGAGCCCCTAAAAGGGGCTAATCAAATTAATATGAGTAAATTTGATAAAAGACTACCTAAGAATGCTCAGGTTCCCGTTTGTGCCTGAAATACTGCACGGAAGGGCACCTGAGGTCTTCCTCCACCAGTAAAGCTGGAACATCGCGATATGACCTAAACTGTGTTGATGTGACTAAAAAACAAAAAAACAAAACCTAAGAATGCTACATATGAAGTTTGGTGATAATCCATCTATTAGTTCAGTAGAAGAAGACGTTCAAAGGTTTTTTCCATTTCTAGCTCTAGAGACCCCTTAAAGGGGCTCATTAAATTAATATGAGTAAATTTGATAAAAGACTATCTAAGAATGCTACAGAAAAAGTTTGGTGATCATCCATCAATTAGTTCAGTAGAAGAAGACATTTAAAGGTTTTTCTATTTTTAGCTATCTTGACCCTAAAAGGGGCCAATTGTAATGATATGAGGAAATTTAGGTGTGACTGTCACAAAGATGCTATACGGACCAAATTTGAAGTAAAAGATGCTACAGACCAAATTTGAAGTTGGTCAAAATAAAAGAGAAAAAAATATTAAAGAAAATGAAAATTTTAATACTTCCTATATATATGTATTGGAATAATACATTGTGTATTTTGTTTGTTTTTACTTTGGTGGATTGACATATAGATTGTTTTTTTTTGTTTTGGGTTTTACGTCACATCGATACAGTATAGGTCATATCGCGATGTTCCAGCTTTACTGGTGGAGGAAGACCTCAGGTGCCTTTCTGTGCATTATTTCAGGCACGAACTGGCACCTGAGTAGAACCACCGACGTTCCGTAAGCTAGCTGTATTAACATATAGAAGAAATTAACAAAAATGAATCCCCAACAAAAACAATAATTTTGCAGAATTGCTTAATCTCTATATCTCCTTATCTCTATGTGACTTTTTGAAAGTACTGCACTTTTTTTGCACATGCAGTGATTTACATGTTCTATTACCAGTTGTCTAATAAAACTATAAGCTGTAGGGATATTATACAATTACTAACCTGTACCCAGGAGTATTTTTGACCTAGATCTACATTGATGTCAGCCCATTTGTCTACTACAACTCGTATTTCTGGTATTGACATTCTTGGTAAAGTTATATCAGACCACGGGTGGAAGCACATCACCTGGCAAGTGCCCTTTGCATCGCTGCATCTGAACAGTGGATCATCACTACTCTCTGTTAACACAATAAATATATATGCAAATTGAAAATTATCGTTATAAACAATTGCCAAAAATAACAAAATATCTAACATAAGATTCTTAATAGGGGAATTTTTCAATATGTCAGAAATCAAGTCTTAAGAATAATTGGATGAAAAACTCTACCAATAGTACTCATTAGTATTAATAACAAGAGGGCCATGATGGCCCTAGATCACTCATCTGACCCATCAAACTCTTCCTAACAATTACCTAGACAAGCATTCAGACCAAGTTTCATGACAGGTGAGTCAAAAATGTGACCACTGTTAGCTAGGATTATCCATATTTGTGCAGTGTGACCTAGTTTTTAACCCAGGTGACCCATGTTCGAACTTGATCTAGAAAACATAAAAACAAACTTTCAGACCAATTTTCAGGATACTTATCATAACAGTAGCCACTACAGTGTTAACAAGATTTTTCTATTTCTAGCTCCTGTGACCTAGTTTTTCATGCAAGATGACCTATGTTCAAACTCATCCAAGCAATTACCTGGACAAACATCCTGACCAAGTTTGATGATGATTGAGGCAAAAATGTGACCACTAGAGTGTTAACTAGGTTTTTCCATATTTGGGCGGTGTGACCTAGTTTTTCATCCGAGATGACCCATGTTCGAACTTGACCTAAAAATCATCAAAACAAACTTTCAGACCAATTTATAGGATATTTGGATCAGAACAGTAGCCACTAGAGTGTTAACAAAATTTTTCTATTTTTAGCTCCTGTGACCTAGTTTTTCATCCGAGATGACCCATCTTCGACCTCATTTGAGCAATGACCTAGACATGCATACTGACCAAGTTTGATGACAATTGAGTCAAAAATGTGACCACAAGAATGTAAACAAGGTTTTTCTATATTTGGGTAGTGTGACCTAGTTTTTGACCCCAGGTGACCCATATTCAAACTTGACCTAGAAATCAACAAAACAAACTTTCAGACCAACTTACAGGATATTTGGATCAAAACAGTAGCCACTAGAGTGTTAACAAGATTTTTCTATTTTTAGCTCCTGTGACCTAGTTTTTCATCCAAGATGACCCATGTTCCAACTTATCCGAGCTATCAGCTGGACAAGCATCCTGACCAAGTTTGATGATGATTGAGGCAAAAATGTGACCGCTAGAGTGTTAACAAGATTTTTCTATTTTTAGGTCCTGTGACCTAGTTTTTCACTCGAGATGACCCATGTTCAAACTCATCTGAGCTATCAACTAGACAAGCATCCTGACCAAGTTTGATGATGATTGAGGCAAAAATGTGACCACTATAGTGTTAACAAGGTTTTTCTATTTTTAGCTCTTGTGACCTAGTTTTTAATGCTAGGTGACCCATATTCAAACTTGACCTAGAAATCAACAAAACAAACTTTCAGACCAACTTACAGGATATTTGGATCAAAACAGTAGCCACTAGAGTGTTAACAAGATTTTTCTATTTTTAGCTCCTGTGACCTAGTTTTTCATCCAAGATGACCCATGTTCCAACTTATCCCAGCAATTACCTAGACAAGCATCCTGACCAAGTTTGATGACAATTGAGTCAAAAACGTGACCACTAGAGTGTTAACAAGATTTTTCTATTTTTAGCTCCTGTGACCTAGTTTTTCACTCGAGATGACCCATGTTCAAACTTATCCGAGCTATCAGCTGGACAAGCATCCTGACCAAGTTTGATGATGATTGAGGCAAAAATGTGACCGCTAGAGTGTTAACAAGATTTTTCTATTTTTAGGTCCTGTGACCTAGTTTTTCACTCGAGATGACCCATGTTCAAACTCATCTGAGCTATCAACTAGACAAGCATCCTGACCAAGTTTGATGATGATTGAGGCAAAAATGTGACCACTATAGTGTTAACAAGGTTTTTCTATTTTTAGCTCTTGTGACCTAGTTTTTAATGCTAGGTGACCCATGTTCGAACTAATCCAAGCTATCACCTAGACAAGCATCCTGAGTTTGATGATGATTGAGGCAAAAATGTAACCGCTATTGTGTTAACAAGGTTTTTCTATTTTTAGCTCCTGTGACCTAGTTTTATATCCTAGATGACCCATGTTCGAACTAATCCAAGCTATCACCTAGACAAGCATCCTGACCAAGTTTGATGATTATTGAGACAAAAATGTGACCGCTGGAGTGTTAACGAACAATTGTGGACGGAGGACAGACAACGGACATTCAATGACCCTAAAAGCTCACCCTGAGCAAGCTTTTCATTCACGTTTTCCATTAGTTATTTGAGCTTTTCTGACTTTTAACAAGAGAATTACTATATGAATATAAGGAAAATAAATGACCCCCTGGGGCAGGGCCAATTTTGACCCCAGGGCTTTTATTTGAACAAACTTGGTAGACACTCAGTAGAAGATGTTTCATGCCAAATATCTAAGCTCTAACTTTTTGGGTTTTTTAAAAGAAGATATTTAAAGTTTTCTCTTTTGGTTGCCATGGCAACCAGAGTTCTGCATGGAATTGGATTCTTAGAACAATTTTTAAAGGTGACCACCAAAGGAACATTCCTGTGAAGTTTGGATGAAATTGGCTTGGTGATTTATGAGGAGATGTCATTTAAAGTAAAAGTGTACAGACGACGGATGGACTGCTGGACGTTCTAACAGGACAGTAATAATGTGGCTACTCTATTGTTCTCTCTATTGTTCTTTTTAGCCACACAAAAGAAAATAGCCACATAAAAGCATTACGGAATGAATGACATCAAAGAGAAAGAACAGTTACCTATTGTCCTGGACGCCAGATAAAAAGCAATCACAAAAGCTCACCCTGTCTCTTTGTGACAGGTGAGCTAAAGATTAAACAGTTATACAAAAACCTTCAATAGCCAATTTACACATAATACATGTAGCTGAAACATGAAACAATCAAAAGTTCAATCTTTGTTTTAGTAACCATCAATCATTTTAACCTTTTCCCTTATATAAGCTTGTTTCAACGGCTTTTTGCCCCCCCCCCCCCCTTTTCTGAGGCCTCAAACAGTGAAAAAATGTCCTATTTTGGCCCCAAACACTGTTTTTCATTTGAGAAATGTTGTTAAAAAAGTGACCCCCATCCAAATGTTACATCAGGGGGTTGCCAGAAGGGGGATGTTTGGGGGGGTTTGAAAGGGGTGGCAGTCCCCCTCATCGCCAAGAAAATTTTGGACATGTGACAGGCTTAAAATGGCGTCAGGTCGATCTTAGGGTAACTAGTAACCGACGCTGAAAAGCCTTTTACTCTATCTCAATTCATTGAGAAGTTGCAGCACTTTCAAATCAGTTTTGATGGAAAAAAAACAATGCAAAATAGTGATATTTGGCAATTTTGAGACGTCCCCCCGTTGCCATGGTAACAGGAAATTTATGATTGAGCATGCTGTTACAGAGGCTATGGTATAGTCAACATTTGTGCCAAGTTTCATCAGTATTGAAGCATTTTTCATAGTTTCATAGCAGTTTGAACTTGTTACAGGAGGCTTTTCAATGAAAACGATCATTTTTCGCAATATACTCATGGGGTAAAAGGTTAACAGTAACATGTGTTTCAAGTCATCAAAGCCTGGATAATGAAGTAATTAACAACAAGAGCCACTACCGGGCTGGGGCAACACTCCACTTTTATACTTCTTCTAAAAGCAAACAAATAAACGGTTTACACAAATCTTATGTTTCAAAAGTTATGTTTTCCTTTTTGAAAAATATTCAACTTTATCAAATGCTTGTATCTTTACATGTTAATGCAAGACTTTACCTTGAACCCAGCAACCCCAAACTCCATCCAAACTTAAAGGACCACCTTAGGTATGTTCCTTGTAAATATGGGACATAAAAAAATACAATGGCTGTATAAACAAGCAATTATCATAGTATTGCAAGCAATCCGTAAGTCCCTTAATGGTAAGAACCCCAGCAACATTCTGAAGGGCCATTGGCCATTCAATTATGCCGTTGAATGAATGAATGGCATGAATGAACTTAAATCTTTTGAGTTCTTAGTTTGTCTGTATCATAGCAATGTGTTCAGTTTCACTCCCTAGTAAGGAAATTATGTTTATACAACAGATAATCAAAAGGTCCAATTTTACTCAGGATGAATAAGTATAACTAATGTTTCAACTTTTTTCTATTTTAAGTAAATTTGTTGGAAACGTTCTTTAAAAGTGATCTCAGGGAAACAGTTTTTATGAAAGACAGACAGATGGACTGCAGGACACTCTTATGTTAATTTTTTAAACATCCATCTAGCCCTTGACTCACAATATTGGTAATTTCGTTATGGAAACTTCATGGGTACATGGAAGTGTTCAATTATGGAAAAAAGCACTAGAAATGTGTCCATAGGACACGGGTGCCCCAACCGCACCACTGTTCTGTCAATCTTATGACTCTAGGTCAAATATTTTTTGAAAACTAAAAATCTTTTACTAAGTAAAGGGCAAGAACAAATACTGAATAAATCCACAAGCAAAACCCAAGGTGCATAAGTACACATGCTGACCAACATTCTTGTAAACTTTCAGGCCTACAAGTGAAATACTTTTTGAGCTATGCTTGAACAAGTTGAAAATTGCAAATTTATACTAATGTAAGTCAAGAGCAATAACTCTAACAAAACTGAAAAAAATCCACATGCAAAGTCCCAGGTGTATAGCTTCACAGTGATGTGAATCATTATTCCTGTAATTTAGTGATGTTGATCATTATTCCTGTAAAGTTGGTTGATTCTAACTCAAGCACTCAAGGAACAAATAACAACATAATGAAACGGTTTTTTACTAAGCCAAGGGAAATAACTCTACAAATACTGGATAAATCCAAAAGCAAAACCCCAGGTGCAAATCTAAATATGCTGAGCAACCTTCCCGTAAGGTTTAACGACTCTATGTCAAATCCTTTTTGAGTTACATGGGACACAAGTTGAAAATTGCAAAAAATTTCTAAGTCAAGGGCAATAACTCTAAAAATACTAAATACATCCAGATGAAAATACCAGGTGCACAACTGCACATGCTGATCAATATTCCTGTGAAGTTTCATGACTCTATGTCAAATACTTTTTGAGTTACATGCGACACAAGTTGAAAATTGCAAAATTTATTAAGTTAAGGGCAATAACTCTAAAAATACTAAATGAATCCAGATGAAAATACAAAGGTGCACAACTACAAATGCTGATCAACATTCCTGTAAAGTTTCTTGACTGAAGGTCAAATACTTTTTGAGTTACATGCGACACAAGTTGAAAATTGCAAAATTTTAGTAAGTCAAGGGCAATAACTCTAAAAATACTAAAAATATCCAGATGAAAATATCCAGGTGCACAACAACACATGCTGATCAACATTCCTGTAAAGTTTCATGACTCTAGGTCAAATACTTTTTGAGTAACATGCGACACAAGTTGAAAATTGCAAAATTTTACTAAGTCAAGGGCAATAACTCTGAAAATACTAAAAATATCCAGACAAAAATACCCAGGTGCACAACTACACATGCTGTTCAACATTCCTGTAAAGTTTCATGACTCTATGTCAAATACTTTTTGAGTAACATACGACACAAGATGAAAATTGCAAAATTTTACTAAGTCAAGGGCAATAACTCTGAAAATACTAAAAATATCCAGACAAAAATACCCAGGTGCACAACTAAACATGCTGTTCAACATTCCTGTAAAGTTTCATGACTCTAGGTCAAATACTTTTTGAGTAACATGCGACACAAGATGAAAATTGCAAAATTTTACTAAGTCAAGGGCAATAACTCTGAAAATACTAAAAATATCCAGACAAAAATACCCAGGTGCACAACTAAACATGCTGTTCAACATTCCTGTAAAGTTTCATGACTCTAGGTCAAATACTTTTTGAGTTACGTGGGACACAAAAGTGAAAGGACGCAAGGACGGAAGGACAAGGGTAAATCTAAATGCCCGCCACTAAAGTGGGGGCACAAAAATAATGAAGACTTTGTGATAAATAGTTTTCAAGATAATGAGACATTGGTTAGACTGTACAGCTGTACTTCCTACTCTTGAACAGAAATTTAAATATGATTTTACCTGGGACAGGACCTTCCTCTAGTAAAGCTGGGAAATCATTCGTAAACAAGAATGTACTGTCATAATCAGGATTCACCTAGAAAATAAAAACAGAACTCTTCTATAAGTGACACATACCTTACATGAAGCTTACAGTTTGGGAATTCTGAAAGTTTTACACATAAATCTCTCCTTGTATCAGAATAAGTGATGAATGACATCGTAATTTGGGAATAATTTAAAATAAAATAATATGTATGTTATTTTGCTAAACATGTAATATTAATAATGACAATATTCAGTTCTATAAAAAATACAATAATTGCACAACACTATTTAAAGGGACTCCACTGAGGTTTAAAAGCCTAAAAACTTAACATTTGATTTGCTTACATAAATGAGCTGGGGTACTTTAAACATAAATATATGCAAAGATAGTTAAGAGATATACTTTGAAATAAAATTGAAAAGCATATTTTTATGCTTTTCTTAGCCCGTTTTAAGTAAAAAGCGTTTAAACGCTTTTCATTTTGGGTCATTTTTTTACATTTGGAATAATTATTCTGGAAAAACGAAGTGCGCAAATGATCTGAAATTTTGCACAAAGATAAATGGTCTCAACCTACATCATATGGTACATTTATCAGGAAAAATATTGTCAGTCCCATCATGTGAAAAAAAAAACCTCAGTGGAGTCCCTTTAAGTTGCAACATAAGAACTAGAAATGTGTCCATAGGACATGGGTGCACCTAAACGCCACTATTCTGTCAATCTTATTACTCTAGGTCAAATATCTTTTGGACTACATGTGCCACAAGTTGAAAACTAAAAATCTTTTACTAAGTAAAGGGCAAGAACTTTACAAATACTGAATAAATCCACAAGCAAAGCCTAAGGTGCATAAGTACACATGCTGACCAACATTCTTGTAAACTTTCAGGCCTACAAGTCAAATACTTTTTGAGCTATACATGAACAAGTTGAAAATTGCAAATTTATACTAAGTCAAGGGCAATAACTCTAACAAAACTGAAAGAAAATCCACTTGCTAAACCCCAGGTGCATACCATCACAGCAAAACCCCAGATGCATAGCATCACAGTGATGTTGATCATTATTCCTGTAAAGTTGGTTGATTCTAATTCAACCACTCCAGGAACAAATAGCACAATATAATGGAATAGTTTTCACTAAGTCAAGGGCAATAAATATGACAAAACAAAATAAATCCACAAGTGAAACCCCAGGTGCACAAATTCACATGCTGAGCAACATTCCTGTAAAGTTTCATGAAACTACATTTTGAGTTACATGTGACACAAGTTGAAAATCGTTTTTAGGAAGTCAAGGGCAATAACTCTAAAAATACTAAACATATCAACATGAAAACACCCAGGTGTACAACTACACATGCTGATCAACATTCCTGTAAAGTTTCATGACTCTAGTTCAAATACTTTTTGAGCTACATGTGTAACAAGTTGAAAATTGCAAATATTTACTAAGTCAAGGGCAATAACTCTAACAAAACAGAATAAATCGACAAGCCAAACCCCAGGTGCACAACTAAAATGCTGTAAGGTTTCTTGACTCTAGATCAAATACTTTTTGAGATATGTGCGACACAAGTTGATAATTACAAATTTTTACTAAGTCAAGGGGAATAACTCTAAAAATACTAAATATATCCACACAAAAATACCCAGGTGCACAACTACACATACTGAGCAACATTCCTGTAAAGTTTTATGACACTATGTCAAATATTTATTGAATTAAGTGACACAAGTTGAAAATTGTAAATTTTTACTAAGTCAAGGGCAATAACTCTAAAATACTAAATATATCCACACGAAAATACCCAGGTGCACAACTACACATGCTGATCAACATTACTATAAAGTTTCATGAAACTAGGTCAAATACATATTGAGTTACGTGCGACACAAGTTGAAAATTGTAAATTTTTACTAAGTCAAGGGCAATAACACTAAAAATACTAAATATATCCACATGAAAATACCCAGGTGCACAACAGCCTATATTTCATGACTACATCAAAGGACAACACAGTAAGACATTTTGTCAAAATCTAGGTCAGCTGAAATCAAAGTTCACTTTACATCTTAATCTGTGCACATGGTTCAAGTTTCATAGCTGTACATCAAATGACAAGAAAGTAGGTCACAACATCAAAATCTAGGTCACCTGATATCAAAGTTCAATTTTACAACTAAAACTGTGCACATCAGACTTTCTGAAAGTTGAAAAAAACTGTCAGACATTCGGTCTGATAAACCATGAAAATCTGTCGGACCGAAACGAAATCTGTCAGACCGAATAAAATTGATCAAAATCAAAGAAAAACTTGTGTTTGTATTTCTAAGTCACTTTTTGGTTTTATTTTTTTCGCCGTAAAAATCGGCACATTCTGTACAGCGCATTTTCATCTCCTCCCTGTCATACACCAACAATTCATGGTCCTGCTTCCATTTTTCATTAAATTTTGTCCCAGATCTAATTTTTTCATCCTTTTATTGTTGTTCTGCGCGCTCCTCTGACTTAGATTTTCGTTTTTTCCCAGGTTTGGCACCTTAAGGAACGCCATTTTGTATACATGCGGCTTGGATAAAAGCCGGACAGTCGGACCTGATCAAAATTTATGTCCGTCCGACCGACGTATTTCGGGAATTCTGGCACATGGTCAAAATTTCTTTGCTGTACATCAAAGGACAAGAAAGTAGGTCACTGTCCCCTTGGGCAAGGCAAAATTTTGGACCCAAGGGTTTAATTCAAAACAATCTTGATACAGGTCCACCAAACAACATTTCAAGTCAAATATCTAAGCTGTAGCTTTCTCCCATTCAGAAAACATTTGTTTTATTTTTACTATGTGTACATAATGAGAATCACTGCCCCCGGGCAGGGCCAATTTTGACACCAGGGGAAAAATTTGAACAACTTTGGTAGAGGACCTATAGATGATATTATATAGCAAACATCAAAGCTCTAATCCTTGTACCTTCAGACAAAAATATTTTTTATTTTTTTAACATAATGAAAATCAATGACTCCCGGGCGGAACCAATTTTGACCCCAAGGCTATAATTTGAACAATCTTGCTAGAAGTTAACTTCACAATGTTCATGCAAAATATCTAACCTCTAGCATTTGTCAATTGCTAAAAGAATTTTTTTTTAAAGTTTTTACTATAAGTTTTTACTATATACATATAAGGAAAACCAATGACCCCCGGGGCGGGGCCGATTTTGACCCCAGGGCTATAATTTGAACAGTCTGGGTAGAGGTCTACCAGACAATGCCTTATGCAAAATATCTAAGCTCTAGGCCTTTTGGGTCTTTACAAGAAGGTATTTTAAGTTTTTACTATATGTACATATAGTGAAAATCAATGACCCCCAGGGCCGGGCCGATTTTGACCCCAGGGCTATAATTTGAACAATCTTGGTAGAGGTCTACCAGACAATGCCTTATGCAAAATATCTAAGCTCTAGGCCTTTTGGGTCTTTACAAGAAGGTATTTTAAGTTTTTACTATATGTACATATAGTGAAAATCAATGACCCCCGGGCGGGGCCGATTTTGACCCCAGGGCTATAATTTGAACAATCTTGGTAGAGGTCTACCAGACAATGCCTTATGCAAAATATCTAAGTTCTAGGCCTTTTGGGTCTTTACAAGAAGATTTTTTAAATTTATTCTTAGAATTCCTTTTGGTTGCCATGGCAACCAGATTTCTGCATGGAATGAAATTCTTTGAACAACTTTGGAAGCCCTTCACTCAAGGATCAATCCTGCCAAGTTTGGTTGAAATTGGACTAGTGGTTTTTCACAAGAAGATTTTTTAAGTTCACTATATAATCTATTTAACATAAACACACACAAACAAACAAACACACACACACACAGGTGAATCGCTATATGCCACCGCATCGCAGATGCTATGCCACAGCATCGCAGATGCTGCGGTGGCATAAAAAATAAATTTATTAACATAAATTCCCAGTTCAAGGGGAAATTATTCTGGAAATAGTCATGCTAGAGATATGAAACTTGTCACACAACATGTGTGTAATGACAAGAAATATATAGAAGTTATAATATTTCTTAAAGAAAATTCTAAGTCCAAAGGGAGACAAATATGAAAATATTGCTTCAAGAGTTATGAACCTTGTCACATAAGATGTGGTTGATGATAAGGAATATGTTTTTGAAGTTTGAGGTAGATACCTTTAAAACTAAAGAAGTTATAGTAAAAGCAACATTTCTCAAGTAAAAAATTAAGTTCATCGGGAGATAATTTGTGCAATATTGGTGCTAGAGTTATCAACCTTGTCACATAAGATGTGGTTAGTGATAAGGAACATATATTTTGAAGTATGCAGTTGATCCCTTAAGAAACTAGAACTCCACGAGCTGGATGTGTCGCATTGTGAACAATATGGTTTAGGAGAAATGGCCAGGTGAAAATCAACAAACGGCAATAACTCAAAAAATAAGAAATGCAGAGCAGCAGTTTCTAAGCACTGCACTTCTTATCAATGAGATATATCATCCTATTAAGTTTCAAGTCTTTAGCTTTTATAATTTATGAGAAATGGCCTGGACAAAAATAAAGTACAAAAATTAACAAAGGGCAATAACTCAAAAAATAAGAAATGCAGAGCACCAGTTCTTAGGCACTGCACTTCTTCTTAATGAGATCTATCATCCTATGAAGTTTCAAGTCCATAGCTTTTATACTTTAGGAGAAATGGGCCGGACAAGAATACAGTATGAAAATTAACAAAGGGAACTCCTACTTTTTGTGCTTGGGAGTTTCAAGACTCCTTTGACATTCTCCCAACCAAAAAAAAAAAAAAAAAAATCCCTACCCTCCTAATTTTTTGGACCAATGTTTCCTGAATCAGACATATTTTTTTTTTTGGCCTAACTCAAAAGATAAGAAGTGCAGCGTACCGGTTCTTGTGCAATGCACTTCAGGTCATTATAAGAAGCATGCATACCAAGTTTGAAGTCAATCCAACTTATAATGACTGACTTATAAGCTTAAGGGGACGCTGACACCAACAAAGA